TATGTTGAAGGTCATTTAGCACAGTGGTGGTAGCTGGGAATGAAACAGGTCTCCAGAGTGCCAGCCCAGTCCCCTCTGGATCTAGCTGCCTCTGACAGCTGTACACAAATAGACTTCCAAATAGGCTTCATCTTGGCCATCAATGCTTTTTTTTTTTTTTTTGGCTATACAAATACTTGATAAATTTTGGCCACCCAGCAACTGCTTTTAAAAAACAGCTAATTACCTTTGGACCATCTACATTTTACTACCTGGTACACCTTCCACAAAGACCTGTTTTGCCAAACAGACAATCTGTTGGAAATTCAGGATAAAACTCAAAGAGTTTCAGAAGGTAGGTGTCCAGTTCCAGACAAAGCAATCAGCATTCAATACATAATTCACAGCAGGGACAAACATTCCTCAGCTTTCATATGCTGCTATTTCCAGTATTTCATTTTCACAGCCTCTGCTGGAAGCCCTCTCTCCAGAGTCACAAAGTTTTCTTGGTTTTTAAAAAATGCAAACATTTATTTTACGGGCTGAAATTTGGCATGTTTGATGTTTTTTTCTTGCTTAAGGCCTTGCTGCACACATCTCTTCAGCAAGGCTTTAAGCAAAACATGAAAAAATTGTGGAAAATACCCTTTAATAGAGGAGCCAGATGACCACAGCATTCACCAAGTCCCCTAGTCAGGGTTCACCCAGTTTAGGAATAGCCCCTGCTCCCATCCATGGACATTATGTCCCTAAATGCCTTGTCTATACAACCTCCTTTTACTATTGAAATGCATAGTGGGTTCTCTGCCTCTGAACTTTCCAATGGGTTACTGCAATTTAGAAGGTGTGATATGTAAACAGAAAACACATTGCAGCTACACAAGAGGAGCTCTGTACTTTACACATCTCACTACGATTTCTAAACTTTACCAAACAAGAGGAAAATATTAATTAGATTTTGTCATAACACATCTGCAGTTCTTCAAACAATCCCTAAGAAAAGTTCATCTATTAACAGGCCATTGCAGTCATGGTAATTCTGAGATCATGTTAGTCTCCTTCTCCATTTCAATCACTGCACCAGAAGGCTGGAACTGGCCATGCTGGCAAAGGTCACACAGAAACCTCTCAAGCTCAGGTGCCGTTTGGTCCTTTCTAGAACTTCAGCTCCAGCTGAATTTTTGAAATACCATCTCTTCTACACCAGCGTGCATGACAGAAAGCATCCTTAGATGTTGTTGTTGCAGTTAAAGATGATGATTTAGTCTTGTAATTTTCTGGTCTTTTTGACACATGAAATTTTGAAACAAAAAAACCCAGTGAAAGAGAGACTTTCACCAAGTCATGGGCTCAGCCCAGGGCTGAGGTGATGGTGATCAAAAGCTGCTTCTCACTTGCATGTTGCTGATGGCCATTATGAAGTAAACTATCAATGCCCAGAAAACATCTGCTGCAGGCCATTCTTTCAAGAACTGCCTAAGGAGAGAGGCAAGAACTAACCAGAAACGAAGTTCGGCAACACTGGGATTGACTCACATTGGGGTACCCAATGGCTCACAGAAGGACCTCCTCCCACCAAATATGCTGCTATGGGGAGGAAAGATCTTTTCTGCTCCGTAAAGGACCTATGTTGAGAAAATGCTTTTCAAACTTCTCACTTCAGAGAATAAGGCAACACAGCTCTGCAGGACAACAGCATCCTACCACTGCTGCCTGAGGTGTGAGAAGCAGCCAGCGGGACCTGGATGACTCCTCTACCTTCACCTTCCAGCTCAGCTGCCTTGAATTAGGCAGGGCCACTGGGTACAAGGAGAGTGCTGCCAACCGCAGGTGTCAAAACTCTCTCCCTACCCTCTGGTAGCAGTGGTCAATTTTAGCTCATGGCAATGTCCTTGTCACTTGCCTGGTACACAAAAAAATGTTATCAGAGGGATTCTCAGGTAAACAACGCAGGGATGGTGTAGAGAATCATAGAACGCTACTGGTTGGAAGGGACCTTTAAAGGTCATCTAGTCCAACTCCCCTGCAATGAGAGCAGGGACATCTTCATCTCAACCAGGTTGCTCAGAGCCCCGTCCAACCTGGCCTTGAGTGTTTCCAGGGACGGGGCATCTACCACCTCTCTGGGCAACCTGTTCCAGTGTTCCACCACCCTCATCGTAAACAGTTACTTCCTTATACGTAGTCTGAATCACACTCATCCATGTCCTCAACAGCAGGTACGCTGGCCAAGGGGAATTGTCTGGGGTTGACATTGGCTCACCCATTCTGAGAAGTATTATGGACTTGCCAAACCTTCTGCAAAGGGTATGAATCCCTCTGTGTAAGAGGCACCTCCTGGGGCAGTGTGTCTCACTGCAATCCCGAACTTGCACCAAGGATCAAAAGACACCCTCCCGCTACGTGAATTTATGCCAATGGGTAGCGTATGTCAAATAAACTGCTTGTCATTATCCCGCTATCACTCCTACTCCAGTGAGAGAGGACTATGTTATAGTTTAGTTTATGTTGCTTTTAAACTATTTTGAAGATAAAATACAAAAAAAAAAGAAACCTAACAGTAAAATATCTCTTATTCCAGAATGGAGGTATCCCCAAGGGTGAGGTATACCTATAACATTATTATAATCCTTTAACTGCATAAGCACAACTGGAAACATCTTCTCTGAAAACAAGTCGTAACTCTATTTTCCTATCTGCAGCCATTATCCTGATAAATTTGGGGAGGTCAGCTAAGGTGTAATCCAATAAACGTGCTGATGTTCTGAGTAAGTACCTCCCAATTTGCAGCCTAATCTATTATCTTACTCCAAGACCACCAAATGACTCACCAGTTTTAATACTTCCTACAGATCAAACAAAGGAAAATATCAAAGCTTTACATTCTAGTTCCACCTTTCAAGGACTTATTTGAGTACTCTTTAATTACAGCAGATGATACATTCAACTCTGGCATTTTCTTTCTCTAACAGCTATAGTTAGAAGTCGCTGTAGCTGTAGTTTTCACAGGACATCATTATTTTAACCAATAAATCCCGGAAGTCTGATAAATTGAAGAAAAAAAGTTGGGATTAGGTCCCAGAGCTTCTTCTGCCCACTGGATCGCACACAGTGATTGTAACACACCAGGGAGCAGCAGCATCCCATCCCTCCTGGGTACGAGGGACGAGTCTTCAGAGCCCCCACCCAAACTGCGGGCAAAAAGCCATGGGAACGAGCACGCGCACCGAGCAGCACACATCGTCCTGGAGGCTGACGAACTTTAACAGTCAGAGGAAGACCAAAACTTGGGCTACACTTTCTGATTCTCCAGAAACTCAAATACACCTGCAGAACTTTGCATGTGAATGCCGTGATTTTTTTTTTCATGGTATAGGTACAAAATAAAAGTGATAAAACATCCTATCCACGGAACACCAGATCCCAAAGGAAGGAGCATCGGGAGGCAGTCAGCAGCGCTGCCAGCAAACTGCAAACGCTCAGCAAAGCAGAAGCTCCACATCTCTACAAAGACGCTGGAGGCATTGCCAAGGAAAGCGGTGAGTACGAATCTCTCCCCCTGAACTCTCACAGTGTTTTGACACTATAAAGCATGTCCCAGTAACAGTGTGCATTTGTATGTGTTTGGCACACACAACCAAAACGAACAAGGATTATTCGACACAGTGCCTGAGCACTACCCCTGTTAAAACTTGTCTCATTTATCGCAACAACAAAACCCATCAGGAAAAGGACCAAACTTTATCTGGTTGACGTTGTTGCTCTTTTTGACTGACCTACCCAAATCAGACTGTTTTTCAAGGACAAGTCTGTAAGTTCACGCAGTAACTGTGTACATGCTGCTAGAATGAAAGCAGAGTTTATCGGGAGGTCCTGCGGAAGGGATGGAAACCACACAGGCCACCACGCCAGAGCCTCCGCATGCAGATGGGATGCTTTCAAAAGTGCACAAATCTGATTTAACTCTGCTTTTGCGGAGTGCATATAATCTAAACAAACTCTGATCACTACTTTAGTTCTGCTCCAAAGGTATTGGTTTTCAATTACTTTAAACAAATACAAGAATGAAAAGAACCCAAAAAGCAACAGACTAAGGAGATGGCCTGTGTGGATAACGAGTGTGCACCACATCACTCTATTTTCTCACTGGTTCTTTCGACTTTTGGGGTTTTATTTCGTGCCGACCTTGCTGAGACAAACACAGCATATACCTATAGCTGCATACATGCCTACAGACCTATACACATACAAGAAATGAGACCAGTCATGAGATCAGGAAGGGAAGGCATTGCACAACTGGGCACAAACCGGAGAATTTTAGAGATCTCAAGAACTGTCCTTTTTAAAGTGCCACTGGGGTGTCACCACTTCCTTTGATAAATAGATGACATCTTACCAGAACTTAAATACTTCCACTCATGCAATACCTAGATGAGTGACAAAAATTAGCTGAGCTGCTGTCACCCCTGCAGTCCTTGTCTAGACACAGCAGAGTAAGTGCAAATTCCAGTCTGCCTTGCTGGGCTACAGCCACCTTGACAGCTGAGCTACGATCCAAGCCACTTCGTCGCCACTGATTAGACGACAAAAACAAAAGAAAACAACTTGAGACACAGATATCTGGATCCGCTGGCAGCGTGACAGAAAAAAGGAAAGAAAACAAAACAGAGAAACAACAAGAAAATAAAAGCGTGAAAGTACTTGTGAACCGAGCAGGTTTTAATTCACAAGCTATTGTTGGAGACGAATGAAATGCCATTTTTTGCAAGTATTTTTCTAACGATCTCCGTGGTAATCTAACAATCGGGATCAGAGGCCCTTCGCTCAGAAGTACGGCAGCTTTTGAGCCGGTGCCCCCTTCAGAGTGGCTGCGCCCTTCTCCCCATTGACAGCCACATCTGGATGCTATCAGGAGGAAATGGCATGCCTGCTCGCAACAAATACCAAGCAGTTAGCAAATTGACTCCAGCAGTGGATGCTGGCCACTTTCCCACTCGCTGTTTATGCGATGTGCCACTAACCTGTTGAGTCCGAGGTTTGTACGGAGAGCTGCTCTCTAGGTCAGCCAGGATGCTGGTCAGAGAGTCGATTTCTGCGTCTAAACTGGACCGCCTCTCCTCAAGCGTCTTGCCACCAGGATTCACCTTAAAGAAGAAAGAAGACTTCCAGTTATTCAAACTGCTGGGCCTGGCACATGGTTTCTTACTGTCCTCATGGAGCTGCTACCATGCCCCAGCAATAACCCTCGGGTTGCAGGGACAAACATGCTGAAATGCTACAGTTTTTCCCCAGAACCGGCAACAAGCCTCCCTCTTACAAGGATTCAGGCTGCTTTGGGGCTTTTCTTTATGAATTTCCCACAACTGTCCTATTGTCTAAAGTTGACTTGGAGGATTATACAACTCCATGCGCAATCTGCTGCTGAGGTGAGGAGGCAGGAGAATCCCCGCTCCCGCAGACAGAGATGTATTTTAGCAGGACGCCCAGCTGGGCAGCCAGGTTGGGGTAGGCTTGGAGAACCTCTATTCTGAGAGAATCTCTTCTGCCATGTCCCCATCCCAGGCAAAGCACAAACACAGCAGAGCTGCAAGCCACTGTGGCCAGGAACCATCCACCTGCATCTGTTATTTTAAATCAGTTCGTGGTAGATACCTGTCTGATTCAACACTTCTTCACAATTTCTATCTAAAAAATGAGCTCCTTCAAGGAGGTATGAAAAAGTTCAATTCATTTCCAGCAGATTCAAGGCGAAGGGCATCATTTGCAGTAAGCGGTCACAAAATGACATATGTAAGGTCCTTGGGAAAAAAAAGGGCTATTATGCAGGAAAGCCCATGCCCAGAGCAAATGCCAGCCTACAGCCAGGACCCTTTCTGATTCAATAATTCTGCTTTCTCTCTGCTTTCAAAACAGCCCAGCCCCACCTGTACCCAGGCTGGTAGGGATGCTGGCTTGGAAGGGAAGAGACATGAATTTTCACCACCGCCACCCACCTCCAAAAGTAAAACCCAGGTCTCAGCACCGCAGGAGAGTATGCAATCCCCAAGTTATTGTTCAAGGGCTGCACTGCAATCCCTGTTAAAATTGGCATTTTAAGTGAGGACTCGTCCACGCCCTTCGTTCTTGAAAAATCAGCCTAGTCCAAAACCTCTGGGAAAGATCTGTGCTGTACAGCCCAACACAACAGCAGTACCTCCTGGCAGTGCAAGAAGCGTGCACAAGCTAGGAAACATCTCCCGCCTCAGTGTTTTCAGGGCTTTGGTAATTAGGCTCTGGCAGGAATGAGAAGTTCAAGAACACCACCTAAGGATCGCCATCAGGTGTGATGTAGGTGCCAGGAGCTTACCCAACTTAGCCAGCCACATTTAGGGCATTTGCAGAAACCAAAGTTTTTGAGTCAAGTGAAATATTACATACTGAAAGTCTTTTCTCAACCTGAGTCACAGTCAATATTTTTCTTCTGTCCTTCCAAGTCTGGCTTATCTGCAAATTCTCCAGACAGAGTCTCTCCGCATATGTGTAACTACAGAGCTCAGTGCAGAAGAGCACATTCGCAGCTTGACTACTACAATAATAAAAGTACGAAAGACTACCTAAAAACTCACCTAATTTCAACTGTAAAGCCTACTCAGACCATACCAGCACCTCCCGACAGACAATCCAGCTCTGTTTGCCTTCACTCTCACCAAGTTACTTCAATTTTCCAAGCCAAAAATTTGCCTTTCCCTTTGGCTCACTGTCTGCTCCAGATAGTTTTTATTTAAATTTCATTTCAAGAGCACTCGATCATTACCTGTTTTACAGAACTCCCCAGTCATCAATCCGACACATAAATGGCAAGTTGGTCAAAGAGAGACAGACTATGCAAAGCAGGCAGGCTCTGATCTGCCAAGCTTATACGTGCTAAGGCATTCATTAGTTCCTAATGATTATTAAATCTTCTTGGATTACAATAAATTTGGCTTGACTAACAAGAAAATGGAAGCTCCAACGTGCTTTACGCAAGAACAAATCATTTCAAAGGCTGAGAGTCGGGTGAGAAACTACATACAAACTCAATTCTTCTTGCCTATTTTTATTATAGAGCCAAAGTTTTTCCATCCAAACTATTGTTCAAAAGAAGAAATACTTTTCACAGGAATTAGCCCAGACCATTACTCCTGGCTAGCTGTAGGCACCTGGATTTTTAAATCTGCAAAAGTCCAATTTCCTTTCCACTATTTGTGCACTTCATGGCTCTTATTTGGTTTTTCTCCATCCTTCAGTTGTTGGCCTATAACTACAGAGCAGCCACAGGCTTCCCAGACACAAAAACTGTGATTGCTCCACTCCAGAGAATTTTTAAGCTAAGCAGCCAAAGCCAGCCTGGAAAGTGGGGGAAATGCAAAGTGTCCCAAGGCCCCAGCATTTGAGGCAATACGTCAAGTCAATGGCAGACCCAGGAACAAAACTGGAGTCCCCACATGGCCTGTTCGGTACCGTGACCCCTGAGAGGAGGGATGGTGGCAGATGAGAAGATCAGCCGATTTCATTTCTGCTTCTCAGCATTTCTAGGCCATATTATTCCCAGGTTCTCATTCCCCAGAACAATTACGCAATAGCTGACTAGCAAATGCTGCAGAACAAGTTGTAAGGTTGTAAAAGTTAAATGTCCTTAGGAAACCTAGAAAAATAAAATAAAATAGCATGGAAACATCTCTATTGATTCTGGGCTCTGTAAAAGATTTATTTATTCAATTAAAACATAATCAACCCAGATTAAGAGCCCAATTCTACAGCTGCTGGAGCACAATGCAGTACTACAGTGCCAACGAATAACGCTACCGATGTGTGTAACGGCCTATTGGGACGGGACTGGACTTTAAGTACATTTAAGAAATGGTAATCCTTGCAAAGGCAGGTTTCCGCTTGCTCTCTCTTCCCCATCTCCACAAATCTCACATTTTTCTCCCCACAGTACTCCTGTTTCAACCAAGGGATTTGCTGCATGCTGAAACAGAAGACTTGGCAACACTAACTTGAGCAAGAGAGGGTTAAGTTATTTCTCTTCTCATGCTCTTTCTCATGACGTTGCTGTAAGTGTTTTATGATATCAGTCTGGAACAAAACCCAAGCGCCAGGTCCCAAGGCACAACAGGTTCACACAGACACGGCTCTGCTCCGAGGAACCCAGACTGGTTAAGCTCACGACCTCGCGGATATAAACAACGGAATCAGAAACAACTGCTAATTCTATTTCTGTCTGGATTTATGGCGTTGTTGCAGACATGTTGCTTGCGTACCCTCCCTTTCAGCCAGCAGAATATGGAAAAATGGGTTTAAAAAGAAAAAGGATGCTATCTTTGGCCCCATCAACGTGAGTTCGACAAAAAGCAAACATAAGCCAATCCAGTCCAACAAATTACTCATGCCAGAGACTATCCACTCACGTGAACTTCTGCAATGCCTACACTCCTATCCCCTGGCTCAGTCCCTGCTGCAAGGCAAAAGAGAGAAAAACAGCAGAGAGTTTCACTACTTGGCTTATTTGTCCGCCCCTGAATTCCTGGTGTGCAGCTCAGAGCAGCTGTGATGTTAATCCACTCCTGAGCCCTGTCAACCCGCTCTATTCTGCTGAAAACTGGCTTTAATTTTGCTATCCTACCACCCAACTCCAGTCAGTGCCACAGGTCCCCCTGCACCACCCCAAGGGACATTCATTACAGAACATGCAGAGCAGAGGGCAACACAGGGCCTCACTGTGCTAAAAACGCCATAAGACTGTTCACTGAGCTAGAAAACAGCAAAAGCACAATGATTTCCCTAGATGCTACCTTCTCCTACAACCTAGATCACCTACTCTTCTCACATTTTTCAGGTTACAGCAGAGAAACAAGAATGCTTCTCAATTGTTCAAGCCAGCTCGTTGCAATGGGCTCACAGAGAAGAATCTGGCTCCCAGATGTCCTTTCTAGCTCCTACTCCAAATTCCTTCTCCTACCCAGACCCAGCCGCCTTTCGTTGATTCTCTGTTTTCCCCTCTCTCCATATCGATTGCTGCCACACAGTGCTGTAGCTTGGGACGAGAGATGCAATGTGGTCTGGGCTGCCAGGCTGGCTTCTGAGCCTCTCCAGGACGACATGTTGATGCCCCGTAGTGTTGCTGTGTCAGGGAAAGATGGAGGGTGGCTCTGCAGTAGCAACCTGCTGACTTACATGGATAGTGGGTTAGAAGTGACGCTGGAGTCCCAGGGTATTTTTTCTACCAAAAAAAGGCAATGGCCAAACTCCTGAACACTTTCAGAGCATCAGGAACTTGCTCACCACAGTGCAATTTTCCAGCATCAAGATCCACCTCCTCCCCATCCACCTTAGCCTTGCTGAAGTCTCCTTTAAAGTAAGCTGAGCGCGTTTCATGAGTGTTGTGGCCAGCTCAACGCTCCAGGAACATGAGCTGTCACTACTGGGAAATGCAATGCTGTGATGTATGTACATACACGTCCAAGACAGCAGAGCTACAGCTAGACACACATCCTTCCTCGCAGCATCAGCTCACTCTGCACGCCGCACTATCACAAGTCACCAATAACCTCATAACTCACAAGTGACAGAATGGAGATGGAACACCATGGATATTACGACAGGTCCTAGCTAATGACTTGAAACAAACAGGTTGGGGCCCCCAGTGCCCGCTGCTCTTGGTACATTGGTTTTACTGGGAGCCTGAGGCGCTTGGGGAGCATTCTTTGGGCTGCAACAGGTTAACACTGTTTGAATTGACACATCCAAGCACAGGGAAAAGCAGGGAGCAAGAAAAGCCCTTTGCAGCAAAGGTAATCATGGAAAGGAAGGACTAAAGTAACAAGAGGAGCAAGGAAGAGGGGAATTCAGGCAAATCAGGTGTTGTGAGCAGGTAGATAGTAAATAAGGACTTTTGCCCTGAAATATTTTACTGTCTTTTCCTCCAGTAAATGCAACTGAGCCAGACGAGGCAGCAGAGCTGAGAAATTCAGCAGCCGCTGCTTGCTTCCACCAGGTTGCCCCCACAGCAGCTGCCTGCCAGGCTCTGCAGGCTGCTGAAATCCTTGAATAGACACTGAGGTGGTAGGAAGAGCAAATGCATCAGCTCTCCAAGCAAGGAGTTAGCATCTCTTTCTACTCCTTG